AAATACAATACTAAACGGGAGAACCCAACTCCACACAATCTACGTCCAGTATCTGCAGCATTTTGGGACCACACAATCCACTTCTGGCGTGACATTCCCACAGAATGACAAGATTTCTAATTGCATTCATTATCCTGTTATGATATACTACATATAGACTCCCATTATACATGTATTTTGTATACAAGTTTCCACATTAAACACGTGGAATACTTTGCACTGTGATATCCCACAATACCCTAATAATATCTATCCTTTTCTTTCTCCACAGAATAGCTTAAACCAACACTGTTGCACAAGTCACTTACAGTACTACCATTACTGGAGTAGGTACCAGTCAACCCACCTGTACGTACACTTGTTGGTGAATTACTAGCCAAGGAACACGTACCCAGCATGGAGAAAATAGTACTTCTGCAGATTAAGGGTGCTTTGGAGAGGCTAATGAAGAATCACAGCCACCCAAGACCAAAGTCCCACACACAAGAAGTGTTAAAAATACTAATCCTTGTATTTGTTGCAGCGCCATTCGTGTCAGGAGGATGTCTCAAAGTGCTTCATAGGATTTGTAGTGACTGTATTTGTAGGCGAACAAAGCAGCCCATTTGCGCACAGCATTGTCCTACAAACACCCATGCGGTAAATGAGCAATTTTATCAGGAGAAATGTTGGCCAGGACATTGGGAGAAACCTCCCACCTCTTTTTGAGTAGTGCCATAGGTTCTTAATATTCACCAGAATAGCTAGACAGGACCTTAGTTTAATGTCCTATCCGAAGGATGACACCTCCGACAATGCAACACATCCCCAGCTTAGACTATGTGATTCCAAGTCCTGATGTGGGGTTTGAACCCACAATCTTCTGATTCAGAGGCGAGAGTGCTACCAATTGAATGGTAATGGAATGACTGTCCTCTGTGGCAGTCTTGGTAGTCTAGTTCCTGAGGCCTGGCAGTTCCACAGTACTCCAGGTCACTGGTGCTGACAGGCCAGACAGTTTGGTCTCGTCAGCAGGATTTGGAAGAGTCACTGAAGGTAGGAATTTTTTCCCAATCAGCTCCTGTTAAACCTGCAAACCAAAGCCCTAATAGCTTGGGTGGACCTAGCTGGACAAGTAGCAAGAAGCTTGCTAGACAGTGCTTGAAATGGTTTAATTGGTTAAACTCCATCCAGAACCTCAATGCACTCTGGGTTCCCCAAGCCTTGGGTCTTGTCACCCTTGGCCAGATGTGTCCCTCTGGGGAGAGCGTGTACATTACATACCAACACAGGGAAGTTTCAATGTGTTAGGTAGTCTACATATTTGGAACTCTATCTGGTTTGGATACTCTTGAGCATAGTAATGAGTTTCCACATGTGTCAGATACCCAGATGACCCCAAAAAACAACTGAGCCAGGCGGACGCCTGGCGGATGTGCGGAGTGCAGTGAATTGCCTTCAAAGTAAGGTCGTTTGAACACCAGCAACATATACACAATGACATGATTATCATGCATACTACAGTAAAGAGGACAGAGATGAGACGAGTGTATCAGCCTGGCTCAATGGTAGCACTCTCAATTCTGATTCAGAAGGTTGCGGGTTCAAGCCCCACATCAGGTCTTGGAATCAAATAGTCTAAGCTGACACTCCAATGCAGTGCTGGGGGGTGTTGCATTGTCGTAGGTGCCGTCCTTCGGATGAGACATTAAACCAAAGTACTGTCTGCCTGTTCAGGTGGATGTTAAAGATCCTATGGGACTATTCGAATAGAAAAAGGGGTTATTCTCAGTGTTCTAACCAACAATCTCCCAAATCAATTTGGTCACTCACTCCATGGCTGTTTGTGGGACATTGTTGAGCACAAGTGGCTGCTACGGTTTGCCCACAAATTACATAGTAAATCCATTTTACAGTATATCCTGTGAAGCACTTTGAGATGTCTCAATGACGTGAAAAGGGCCAATATCAAATGCAAGGATTATTATTATGAATGGGGGACATCTGGTTCAGAAGTGATCTTCAAGTTGCGTTCCTCCGTTTTTAACATTGATAATGTTTTGGAAATGTTTAGTTGCCCTGCAGTCCTCAATGGATGGAATAGCAACAGCACTGGGATTGCATTAAAAAGCATCAGAGTTCCAGGAATGAAGCATCATGACCACATTGATCAAAAATGCATCAACCAGTGAGACTGTGTCCCCTGAAGAACAATCTAAAAGCCTTTAATTGCTGAGACACCTGTTGTCAGCAGAAAAATAGAGAGAGGGCCTCATCAGGTTTCATAATAACAATAATAATAATCCTTGCCTAACGTCATCGAGACGTCTCAAAGAGCTTCAGAGGATATACTATAAAGTGGAGTGATATGTGTTTTGTGGGTGAAGGTCACTGGATGATGGTCACTTAATATACATGTCAGGAACACAAGCTGACATTGCAATACAGCAATAAATTATTTGAAACTACCATCTTTGTCATTGTTTTTTCTATTACATATATTTATTCATAATAATAATCCTTGCATTTGATGTAGCGCCTTATCACGTCATCAAGACATCTCAAAACGGTTTGCAGGATATACAGTAAAGTGGAGTGACTGTGTATTTTGTGGGTGAAATGCGGTAGCCAGTTGCGCACAGCCATGGAGTGAGTGACCAATTTTATTTGGGGGATTGTTGGCCAGGACACCAGGAGAGAGAAACTTCCTTCTCTTTTTGAATATTGCCATGGGATCTTTACCGTTCACGTGAACATGCAAACTGGACCTCAGTTTAACATCTCTGAAGGACGGCACCTCCGACAATGCAACACTCCCCCAGTACTGCATTAGAGTGTCAGCTTAGACTATGTGATTCCAAGTCCCAACGTGGGTCTTGAACCCACAATCTGCTGACTCAGAGCCGAGAGTGCTACCACTGAGCTAGGCTGACATATATATTTGACTAAATGCCAAACGCCAAAATAAGATTTCAGATAACAGAATACCTTCTTTGGCTAAGTATTTTGACTAAAGAGAATAATGAATTAAGACTTTGGGAATGGACAATGGAAGAGATTGTTGTATAACAATAAGAGCAAGACAAGCTGTCCATGGCAGATCATTTATTTTAACATAAACATCATGCACAGGTAGGTATAATCTGTCATATGAGAGCAAGGTAGGTATGATTGTGATCTGTTATCAGCCAGACTGGTGAATGATACAGTAATTCTTAACTTGATATTTGAGATTCCCTTAACTACAGGGAGGTACAATCAGATTTCCACTCAATTCAATAATAATATCCTCGCATTTGATAATAATCCTTGCATTTGATGCCTTATCACATCTTTGAGACATCTCAAAGTGCTTCACATAATATATTGTGAAGTGAATTGAATGCGTATTTTGTGGGCGAAACGTACAGTCAACTGTGCACAGCAGTGTCCAGAAACTGGACTAAGTTTTTTGACCATGTTATAATTATTACCAGTAATAATTAGCACATCACACGTAGCATTTTTACTCCTACACCCCAGTAATCTTAGTATCTTTATTGCAAGAATTGATAGATTCAAATGTCAGAGTCTTTTTTGGTTCTAATCTAACTAAATTAATAGAATTATTTAACAGAAATGCTGATGGAGTAGATAACAGAGAATGAATGGCTGTCTTGTACATGGAGTTTCATAAACCATTGATAAGATTTCAGACAACAGAATACCTGCACAAGGTGCATGGAATTGGAGACAACTTGGTAGTATATCTGGGACAGCTGTTTAAATTTGGGAAGTAGAAAGTCAGATTAAAAGGGGCAGTCTTCATCTGAGTGATGGGCAGTGACAAATGGTATCTCCAGAGATTGTCACCAGAGACCAGCTCTTCATTTGGTAGATAAATAACTTGGACATGGGATTAAAAGGGAATGTGTCATAGTTTTCAGATAATATTAATCTAAGACCGACAGTAAAACTGTGAAGAGAACAAGACTTGTCAAAAGGGTGTAGGGCATGATAGTACACTTTGGGCACAAGAATGAGAAATGGAAAGACATTCTAAAAGACAGATTTGGGGATATTTCACAATAAAGAAATCCAAAAAATGTGTGATACAGATTCATAAAAATGCACCTCCAAATCAACTAATTCCCTTGCATTGGACACATGTGTGAGACACACTTCCGGTTATCAAAAGTAGTCCCCACTCTGACTTTTTAATTACGAAGTCAGTCAAGATATACACAAGAATGCACCCTATATATGGAAGCACAAGTGAGGGAGATTAGCAAAGAGATTTAGATATAAATCACAACAAGCTAATTTTAGGTACAGAATATAACCAGAATGCTAATGGAATGCTTGGTTTTATCATAAAAGATCTAGAATATAAAAGCAATATGTACCACTAAGGTTATAAAGAGTGTGGAAAACATTACCTAGGAGGGACACCAGCCTTCGAGAAAATCTCGTACCAATTCACCAGGAAGAAGGAATTTAGAATAGTTACGATGATTGGCTGGGTAAATAAATTATATTTTCTGGATTTGAGAATTGAGGGTGTTTCAAGTAATAAAGTGAGATAACCAGGGTAGATAGGGAATTAACCTTTGTTCCTGCAAATTAATCTAGAACAAGGTTATGTAATGTTAAAGTTAGGGCCAAACTGATTAAAAATGAAACCAGAAAACATTTCTTCACACAAAGTGTTGTGAGTTTGTGGATTTCACTGCTTCGGGAAGTGATAACTGGTATAGATGCAATTGCTGTTGGTAAAACGGAGGTGTATAGACAGATATGTGGGATGTAAAGGTTTTAATATGGAGAAAAAATATAACAAAATAGATTGAAAACTTTAAAAGCTGGAGTGTCTATCTTTATGGTAATTATTATTATAATTATTATTATTATGATGATATTGCGTGTACCTGTCCATATGTTCTATATTGCATTGTTATTATGATATAGTTTGTGTGTAACAAAAATGCTAAACAATACTTTTTCGTATAAGTGCCTAACACTGTATACTTTTTATTGTCCAGGATCCAATAAACGAACAGAACTTTGATGCCTACGTGACGACTTTAACGGACATGTATACAAATCAAGATCGCTATCAGAGCCCAGAAAACAAAGCCTTGCTGGAAAACATAAAGCAAGCTGTAAAAGGGATTCAGGTCTAAAGGCCTGCGTCCACTTTTAGAGAGATTTTGCTGGGATGCCTCACGTCTTGCTGCTCTAATTTACCAGACAGTGTTAAATATCGAAACTTTATTTCTGTTACAAAAAAGTGTTATGCTTAGGAGACTTCATAATGATTTTATGTCCTGCTTTGAAAATAGTAATTGCATTTAATATATAGTTTTTAAAAACATTCACATTTTGTACGTTTTCATATGAGATGACATAGTGTAATATGCCATGTAATGTTTATAGCTACCGATGTATGCACATTTTTTGAGTGTATACTCTTGAATGGTTGACGGAACAAAATGAATAGGAACTGAATTCTTTTAGATGCTTTACAAAAGGAAGGATTTAATATTAGCAATTGAATTCGATGGATATTGAAAGATTGGGAGCATGTGAGCTGTGATGTTACAGTACTGTGTATAGCTACCACTTGGACACTGATTTTGTGTCTCATGAGAGATTGCGTTTTACAGAATTTAAAAAAAGACGAAAGATTTATGTGCACATTGTTTACTAGACAAGGGTTGGTAGCGAAAATGCTCTAGTTTTGAACAACGCTTTAAAATATTATGTGCTTTAGTTTTAAAATGATGCGATTAGGTGGGGACACTCAAATGAAATTATTGTTTCGGGATTTTAGAACGTGAATGAAATATGAGTAGCTTTACGATTGTTTTAGTTAAGGTTTGGCGAATAGCCCTCGCCCTCACTATCCTGCATCACTTCTAAACAATAATGGGGTTTGTGGTGAAATAAGTAACCCAGTGAGGGCCAAGGGCTAGACTCCAAGACAAGGTAACTTAACAGAAGGGATAACTTACACACTGCACTGACTGGTGCTGTGACTTCAGCAGCCTTCTAGGCCATAAGGATGCTTACTGCAATGCATTTCATTGAACATAGGATGGCAGTTGAACGCCACAGCACACCTTCTGTAAAGTTAACGTGTCTTGCAGTTTACAGTACACGCATATCTGTACTATGAGTCTCTGTAGATGAAGTCTGGGTTTTATACCTTATTAATAATTTCATCTGACTGGAAATTACAGGGTCGCTGTCCCTATAACCTGCCAGTTCTATTTTGCACTTACCTTGTCCTATATCCACAATGTAATAAGGTGTGCAATTGCTGACGTCATTGGTCACTTGACATGAGATGCGTCGGTCTGAACAAGTGAAACACGAAAGCCACCGTGGCTACTGTTCCGATGAGAGCTACAATGAAACAATGGTGTCATAACAGGAAACGTGAATCAATGTTCAACGTTGATACGTAATCCCAGCAGCACTTTATTCATAGTCGTTGTGCAAAACTTGCAAAGTTTTCCCAATGGACAAATTCTTAACTAGCTGGGAAAAGATTCTGTAATTACTCTGGGACTGTGTGCCATTGAGCCAGCACAGTGCCCACTTTCTGTTGTGCTAATAGTTGTAGCCGCCATGTTCAGAATTGCCTTTTGAGAGCTAAAGCAAGGTGCTTGTCTTTCACCTTATGCCATATATATACATATATACTTGCCCTAGCCTCTTTTAGGGCTTTGTTCTTCATGACTGCATATGCCTTTTTTCCACTGCATTGTGTCTGCAGCTTCTATGCCAATATAGTAATGCTTTTAATAGAGTAAGAGCTAGTTTGACTTTTGGATTATTACTGTTCTCACCTATGTAAATGGAAAAGGGATTTTAAGCACAAATCTGCTGCTCATCCAATGTTGGTACATAATATCAAATCAAAATGTACCTGTGACTATTACATTAGTGAACACAGACGTGTCACATATTAGAATGCTAACATTTCATAAGGATTATTGCAGATTCATCAGAGTTTATTTATATTAACTTATTGTTCATATTCATTTCTAAGTTAATTTAAGTGATATTCATTTATTAAGACAGGATTTTGTATAAACTATTTATTGTGATCTCTGTGGACTGAATTTTGATTTATTTTTGTACGACACAGCATGGATTTGTTGACATTTTAATTTTGCTATAAATGTGTGAAATCACAAAGTTGCTGTGATGATTCATTTTTAAATTGTGAACTTTGTACAATTTTGTCATGCTGGATGTTGACACATCTTACTATAAATAAAATCGTGTTGCCACATTTGTAGCACAGTGGTTCTCTGATCAGTGTTAACATTTTAACTTTATTGTATGTACTGGCAGCTGTGGCAAATAAATATTCAGCTAATATAATAAGCGTTTCACGAACTCTGCCCTTTTATTGTCGTACATTTGCATGGCAGGTCTTAGCAGGCATGAACTTCATTTATGCATGCATTTGTGTCATGTTGGGCCATGCCATAGGCACTTCAGTCTTTTGGAGAATTGTGCCCTTGACAAAGCTCAAGGTACAAGGACACAGAAATCGGTGGCAGGCTGTAACACTTTAAATTGTAAGAAAAACAGCAAACGCTACAATGGAAATGATCTAATTTGGCTTGACAGTAACCTCTCTTTCAGGCAAAAATTCAATTAAATAAATCTCCCAGTAAGTAGCTGCTCTCCTGCTGACTCAGCAGGTGGCTTTAGTGTCCAGCACATCATATAATTGCTTCATATTATAGTACGGACATAGCCCTGAGTCCAGCTTTGTCTTTTTGTGTGTGTGTGTGTGTGTGTGTCCTGAACTGTAGTCGGCCAGTACCAAAGAAAATGCTAAATATTCTCATTTTATAAATTTATCTCAAGTCAACATTTGTTTGATGAAAATAATGTTGTGTTTAATTATTTATTTATCGATCTATAAAGAGATTACTGGAGTTAATATGTGATATACTCCGAAGAAAACTTCAAGATGTCAAATATTGGACTCAGTCTGTGAAGCTTTGCGTATGTGACCGAACCCATTGTTAAATGGCTACTGATGTCTATATGGCTTCTGTCTTTTAACTTTTCACTGTTGAACCTGCAAGGTTTTTATTTGTATTTGTCTATTGACTTACCAGAGCCATGTGTTGTTATGCCTGTAATGCACAAAGTGACTCACCCAAACTAACGTTGTTAACTATCTGGTCAAAGGTGTGCGGACAACTTCTCGAGAATCCATCCTCTCAACTGGGACCTATTGAGATTCAGATCATCCTGGATATTGAACAGAAAGTGATGATGTTAGTTGCAAATCACAGTTGACACTTTTATAGTTATTGAGTTCTTCATGAAGGAGGATCTTATAATGTACTGCCTCGACAATTCGAATGCCCTACTCGCCAGACTGCCCAGCTCCTCCCTACACAAACTTTCCGACCATCCAGAACTCTGCAGCCAGTTTCCTCTCTCTCACAGGACTCTGCCAGCCTATCATTCACATCCTCACTCGACTTCACTGGCTCCGCATTCCCCAGCGGATTGAATCCAAGATCCTTTTCCTCATGTTTAATTCCCTCCAGAGCCTTGCCCCTTGACACACCCTCTCTCTGCGATCTCTTTGTGACCCTATTGCTCTGGGCATTCCTTCTGTTCAGCAAGCAATCCCTCGTTTTATCCATTCCACCAACAGTAGGTGAGTTTTCAGCGATTCTGCCCATTCTCCCTCCACTTGCCACCTCTTTCCCCATTTTCAATTACCATCTTAAAACTTCCCTCTTCTTCTGCTCTTTCCGGGTGAATGGAAGCAACATGTGGAACTCTCATCCGGTTGATTTGGAGATTCTTAAGTATGATGATAGATTTCTGTGGATGTCATATGTCAGATACCCAGACTGCCAGTATTGCCAGTAGATATTTACTCTTATACACAGCCAAGAATAACAGCTATCAATGGCTTTGTAACAGATGGTGGCATGATGATAATAATAATAATCTTTGAATTTGAAATAGCGACTTGTCATTTGTCGAGACATGTCAAAATGTTTCACAGGGTATACTGTAAGATGGAGTGACTGTATATTTTATAGGCGAAACGCGGTAGCCAGTTACACACAGCAATGTCCCACGAACAGCCACTGGGAGAGTCTCCCTTCTCTTTTCCAATAGTGCCCTGAAATCGTTAATGTCCACCTGAACAGTTTGATAGGACCTTGTTTTGATATCTCATCTGAAGGACGGCATCTCTGACAATCAATACATCCCTGGAGTCCTGTAGCATAATGGGTAGAGTACTCGCTTGGCAAGTGAGAGGACGCTAGTTTGATTCCCGGGCTGGGCGAAACCTTAGGCAAGTTTGCTTACGCCACAATCTTCTGTTTACCTATCAGTAAGTAGGAAACCAGTTCTTGGTCGATTGACGGATCGCTTTTCCGGGGGTAATAATCCCTTCAAAAATAAAGAAATAACTAAATAATAATAATAATTTAGTCACTCAATCCATGACTGTTTTTGGAACACTGCTGGGCGCAATTGGCTGCTGTGTTTCGCCCACAAAATATACAGTCAATTAACTCAATAATATAATCTGTGTAGCGCTTTGAGACATCTCGAATACATAATAAAAATCTATATCAAATGCAAGAATTATTCTTAGTTTTATTATTATTCTCAGCATTGCACTGGAGTGTCAGCTTAGACTATATGATTCCAAGTGGGTTGAGGAAGGAATCAGTGGAGATTTAGAGAAAGGTATAAGGGCCATAGAGGAGGAACTGATGTAGTATCAATTGGACCATTTTTTTTATAAGTATGATCACCTTTAAGTAAACAACATAATTGTATTACTTCATTAAAGAAGGAATTTCATCCCATGGTAGGCTCTTGCTTGGTTTTTCCAAAACGCTTTCAGACTTTCTCTCTACTTGAATGCATGTGAAATGCAAATTCTTTTTGTTTTTGAACTACCATTTTTATGGTATTTCATGATGTTGAAGAATCTCAAACAACAATAACAACAAAATTACATTTGTATAGCGCCTTTCACGTCAGGAGAATGTCCCAAGGACCTTTTTATATGAAAGATTTTATATCAAAGTTTTTATATCAAAGTGCTTTAAACTAAGTACTGGGAAATGTAGTCACTGTTTTTTTTGAGGAATCACAACAGCGATTTTATCCACTGTATATTCCCACAGGTAGCCACAAGGGAGAATGTTTAATTACCTTTGACATAATCTTCCACACTCTTTCAATGTATGTTCACTCCAGGCATAGAGCTCTCTCTAATCTCCACCTACTTTTCC